GATAGATAGATAGATAGATGGATGGATGGATAGATGGATGGATGGATAGAACAGGTGAAAGTGTCCCTGTTTATGGCACGTCGCACAAAGCTAATTTGAACATTTGGATATAGGTATCAGATCAGATCGGAAAGTTTTGTTTTTTGTTTTTTTGCCAATCTTCGATCCTTACCCATCCTGTGTATCAGGTCAAGCCATCCCTAATTTTCCTAACCGTGTTGTTGCAACAGTAATTTTTGAAAAAAACACACCCTAGTCTATATTATAAGAAGACCAACACTTTTTAAATCAGACCCGGGGGGCTGGGTCAGGAGCAAAGAGATGGAGCGTTGGTATAAACTACGATAAATGACATGTAAAAGTCATGCATAAAGGCTAAAATGCTTTTATTATTTTCTACACCATCTATTGGGGAAATGCTGGCATTGCAGGGAAAAGGCTGAAATATAATGAGAATATAAATAAATAATATAAGTTGGACAAGTTTTGTGGGCTGGATTACAAAGCCAAACGGGCCACATCTGGCCCCCGGGGCCGTATTTTTTTGCCCATGCCTGGTTTGAATCATTAATATAATTTGTGACTATTTCTGTTGTAGGCGGCTCTGATCATGCAGGTCCTGCAGCTGACTCCAGAACAGATCGCCATGTTGCCTCCGGAGCAGCGTCAGAGTATCCTCATCCTCAAAGAGCAGATTCAAAAGACCGCAGGAGGAGCTCCATGACCAAGTGCTATTCTCTCTTTTTTTTTTTTTTTTTTTTTTTTTTTGCCTCATCAGCATCACTTTGTCATTTTATTGAAACTGATTAAAGAATTATATAACTGACATTATTAATCATTTCATTTTCATTTCAGATGTCCAGACCATCTCACCTCCAACTTGTATCTGAAGATTCTTCAATTTAGGATTTTTTTTGTTTTTGTTTTTTAATTTTAGTGTTTCCAATAAATAGCCAATACTCTAGTTCTCTAGTTTCTCATTTCAGAGTAAATAACAGTGATGCACCTAAAATTGCAGATCGCATTGAACATTTTTCATCCATTTACTCGACTCTTTAACCACTGTTGTCCTTAAAAAAAACAAACATAAAAAAAAGTTTTATCAGTTCTGTTTATTTACAATGTCTCTCGGTCGTCCAAGTCATGCTGTCCAAAGACGTTTCGAAACATTCAGCTGGACTCGCTCGGTAACTTTAACTCTTCAACCCTGTTTTTAACTCAGACTTCTTCCTATTGTTCTTCGGATGAATTGTTTAAGACACAGTTTAATAATAACCCATTGTTTACTGCAGGAGGAAGTAGATTTGAGGAATGAAACGGGGAAAAGCTTGAATGTGTTCAAGTGTGACCTGATGATTCACTGTTACGCAAAGGTTTCGGTGAACCCAGCTTGAACAATGGATTATCAGCGGTGACACTAATGTCTTTCTTAGTAACAGAAACGTCCCCAGTCTCTGAGGCTGTGATTGTCTTCAAAGGTTATTCTCGTCGTCTTGTCTGCTCAGAAGTTCTCCTTGTTGAAGTAAAACCTGGTTTTCCGAGGATCCACTTCAGAATATTTTGCACATTTCTTCTCCAGGACTTTTCCGAGTGCTTCTGGGCCGCACAGGAAAGTTCCCACCACAGATCTGAGAATGTCAGAATGAAATTTTTTTTCTTGTATTTAATGTGATTTGTGAGTTGTTAGTTTTTTTGTTTTGAGTTTTTAACTCTAGTTTGGAACTCCCAAAATCTTACGTTGGGTTCTCTTTGCGGATTTGTTCGAACTCCTTGTCCCAGACCGGTCGACCGTAGTGGGTCTTCTGTTTGAGTCCCGTGATCACATCCGTGTCGGCGTCCACCTGGACCTTTGCATGATCTGCCTGTTGTGGGAAACAGTGATTTAAACCAGTTGTCATAAGATTGGGTCAGCGTTTTGGACTTCGGACAGTAGCTTCACTAAAAAAACACTACTCACTATGTTCTGATCCCAGCCTGTCAGGAAAAGTTTGTAGGTCAGGAAATGACCCATCCCTCGTTCCTCCATCTCCTTCTCCAGAACGCACAGCAGGTCAGCGAACCATTCGAAGGCATGCGTTTCCCGACAGAGCCAGTAAAAGTAAATCTGGAACCAGGAAAGGATCATAAAATGATAACAAAAACAACTAACGTTTACAGCTGTGAGTCAGAGTCTGACAAGGGAGTGTCTGAAAATGAACGGTTTCAGAATCAAAGGCCACATTCGTGATGTAGACCAGGCACTGGCAAACTAAGGCCCGGGGGCTGGAGGCGGCCCGTTTAGCTTTTTAACTCGGCCCGCCAAACTTTTCAAAATTCTATAGTTAATTTGTATTATCATTATATTTCTGCCTTAGTGAATTTGTATTATCGTTATATTTCTGCCTTCTCCCTGCAATACCCATGTTTCCCCAATAGATGGTGTAGAACATGCTAAATGCATTTTAACCTTTATGCACGACTTTTTCTAAAAGCATTTTAACCTTTATGCACGACTTTTTCATGTCATTTATCTTAGTGGTGAGTGGATGTAGACTCAAGTGAAAGAGACGGGAATTTGAGGTAACTGGTCAAGATGATGATGATGATGGTGTTTGTGATGAGGAAGATTAAAATAACGACAGGCGCGAGGTCCTGCTTACCTTCCTGGTGCGCAGTTTAGGATTCCCTTCCTTGAACTTGTACCAGATGGATTTGAGGATGGAGGCAAAAGGCGTGACCCCGATGCCAGCTCCCACCAACATGCTGACCTCGTAGTCAAAGACGTCCTCGCTGGCGGTACCGAAAGGTCCGTCTACGCCCATCCTGAGTAAAATCGCATTAACACTTTTTAAGATTTGAAGTATTTCGAGGAGATCGTGTGTCCTAGCATCAGTGACTACAGATCCGGTCCGGTGTTTTCCGGTCTGAGGTCCACTGTCGCAGGACTGCTATTTCTAGTGTCAAAGATGCTTCTTACGTGCAGAAAGTTTTTAATGACCCATAAAATCAGCAAAAGGGAAGCTAGTACCAGTAAACGTGCTTTCATTTCTGCAAGAACTAACACCAGAAGATGTGTGACAGTACCAGGAACTTTGTTGTTGTCTACCATCAGAAACCAATTGGAATTGCTGGCACTCCTTCCCAAGTGCCAGTAAATCCACTTAGTGAAGTTCCTCACACAGAGGTGAGAGACAGGTGTGTCGAAACACTACGTGCTCTGGTGCCTCCTCAGTTATTATGCAATGAAATGAACTGTTTACGAAAGAGATGTCCCGTGATCTCACTTTGGTCCCTGAGCTCCCTCTGGCAGCTTCTGCATGATGTCGATCAATTTGTCCGTCCAGTCCCCAGCGGAGCGGATGTGGACGCTGAAGAAGTCTTCCTCGGGGGCGGACGTCATGGTAAACGGATGCCACTCCAGCTGAGAAATGGCCGGACAGTTGAGGAAGACGTATTGCCCCACGTCCATCTTAAAGCCGCTCTTCACCAGTTGCAGCTCCAACACTTTGGAAGGTCTCATCACAATCTGAAAGTCAGGGTTCAGTCCATTTAGTCACTGTTCGGTAAATACTCAAATCGAAGGATCCGGAAGACGAGTTTCAAATCCAACACACCTTCCTGTAATGGACTGTTTGCATAAAACGAACGAAGCGCAGCAGGCGTTCGCACACGTAAAAGAACATCGGTCCAATCACCCACATCCAGGTCTGAAAAACGGCAGAAGGAACAAGGTCACGGCCAAGGTTCTCGGGTGATAACCGGGTACTGATTTTTAAACCAAACGTAGACAAACCTTTGGGAAACCTCCAGCGAACGTAGGAAGAGGGCACTCGGGAATCAGACCCCAATCTTCAGGACGGTCTTTACAGAAGGTGAAGTTGTGAGCTTTTTCATTCTGCTGACTTCTCACGATACGCCTTGTGAGCGGACACACACGGGGTCAATAGCAGAACCGGGAGTAGAAACCGTAGCAGACCAGTAACAGTAACCCTTACCCTGCTCCGTGGAAGACCAGACCGGCGAAGAAGATGATGAACAGATGATGCGTGTACCAGAAGACCTCGAAGTAGTTGCGTCTGATCACCTCCATGGAGGAGGTGATGATGAGGATGAGAGCCAGAGTGATGACGACTCCCGTCAGACCTGCGATGGTGGTGAAGACGAAGTAGGTGGGAATCTGCTGAGGATCCTTGAGGACATGGAGAGGAAGACGGGCAGATGTAAAAGAGAAACGTAAACATGCGATCATCCCATAACAAAAAAAAAAAAACGAAGAAGGGCATTTTAAGTTTAAGTTTTTGTGAGCAACCAAGATGTGGCTGACACATTCCCCCAGCCCTGCGGGGGGCGCAAAAAATATGTATAACTGAAGACTTAACTGGTCAAGTTCCAAAATTCTGAAATCATTGAAAACTGCTATGGGGCTAGTTTTTAATGATCGTATCAAGTCTCGATATTATTTTGATGCTAACGACCGCATTATCGATCGGTATTTTGGATGATGATAACCATATTCTTTCGGACTCACAATGTCAGTTTTCCTGACGGGGTTCAAGTACGAGGTGTTCGCGCCGTCCTCCAGCGCGGACAGAGCTGTGCTCAGTTTGTCGTATACGCCCTGTCTGCTGTTGTTCAACCACTCCATGCAGGTGAGCGACCATGTGGACAGCTGCGGAGGAAGAAGGAAAGTGAAGCAAACCGGTTTCTGTACGGGTAAACATACAGTGCAGAAAACCAGAAGTTTTCAAAGGCGGGCGTGAACAAATATACGACTGAATACGGGTGGAGGAAATCTGAAGATAATTGATCATTATTTATTATTCATTTTCACTTATTTAATGAAATATCATTTTACAAAAAAAAATATCCCAAATATGAAGTGTTTGTTTATTTTATATTTTTCCAAATTCATCAAGCAGGCCGGATTGAACACCCTAGGGGGCTGGTTCTGGGCCCCCGGTCCATATGTTTGACACCCCTGATCTAGACTAGACTAAGACACAAGCCGAGTAGATTCCCTTCATGCGATTTTTTATTCTCCATAAGTTTATGACAACCGAAAGGCAAAAAGGAAGATAGGATAAAAATAAAGGTACTGTCAAGATAAAGTCACAGGACAAAGAGAGGCGTTGTGACAGATATCAGTGTTGAGTGAAGTCAGAGGTCATTTTTGTGTGTGTGGGTGTGTGTCTTTGTGTGCTGAAATGATTCAAACAAATGTTTGCAGTGGAGGAGAAAAAAAGACGGCTCACCTGTCATCAGACCAATCATGTAGGCAACCAGTTTGTGGAAAGTCAGGTTTTTGTCCAGTTGCTTCCGTATGGTTCGACCGCAGCACTGAAACAGAGAGCGAGACGCTGAGGTGAGGCGACTCACTATCAAAACAAAGACGCAAAGACGACGACGACGACGTAGGGTTTGTAGAAACGAACACGTGAATGAGCGCAACAAGTCTGAGGACAAAAAGACAGGGACAGAGACACAAATAGGACCACCAATCGATCGATCGATAGATCGACAGATAAATAGATAGATAGATAGATAGATAGATGTCTTATATATAGACGTCTTATATTAATAAGAGAGGTAGGAAAACCGTTACCATGAAGGAGCCTCGGATAAGAGACAGTAGGTTCCTGCAGACGGGCAGCAAAATCAGCATACAGTTAAAGTTTAGGACCGCAGCAGGAGCTCGAGCCCAGGCCAGAGCTGACTGAAAATAATCATCATAATAATAACGTTACATTGAAGCGAAGACAACAAATGAAATAAGAAAACATTGAATGAATCGTGATCAACATACTCACTCCTAACAGATGTCGTGTGTAGAAAAACTCATCTCCTAAATCATAGTAGAAGTAGTACCAGACAAAGAGGAAGATGTTGACTCCCATCCACAAGAACTACGGGAGGAAACACACACACAACACAAAAGATAGTATAAGACATCACATCCATGGGTTTGCGACTTATACTCGGGTGCGACTTATATATTAAAATATATAATTTCACGTTTGTTATTTTCACACCGACAGCCACTAGAGGGCACTCTAGGCTTGTGTACCAGTATCTGCTACTCCTGTACCAGTGAAAATATACATGTTTGTTATTTTCACACTGACATCCACTAGAGGGCCCTGGTGCAACTTATAGTTCGGAGCCACTTGTAGTCACTTGGCAAAAAAAAAAAAAAAAATCAAAAACAAAAAAATTGGATTTTTATTGACTGGGTGTCAAATGGGTTTTCTCTGTTCAACAGACCAGCGACCGTTTATGGTTCTGAACCCCGTGTGTCTGTCGCTGCCGCTCTCGACCCTTCTCCCTCGCATGACTGATCCACAGATAATGAGAGAGAATGAAAGGAGTCTGTGTCTCTGTGGAAAATGACACATTTGGGATCAGACTCTGAAACACCTGCAGTTTTTTCAGGGCTTTCAGTCCTGTCTTTCAGGCACCTGAAGTGTATTGTGGATCAGCGTCAGTTCTGTAGCTAGTCTTCAAACAAACTGAATGCTTAAAAAAAAACCAATCATGAATCTGGATCAAATAAGGCTAAAATGCTTTTATCATTTTCTATGCCATCTATTGGGGAAATGTGGGTATTGCAGGGAAAAGGCAGAGGAATAATGATAATAGAAATAAATTATGTAATTTGGAAAAGTATTGGTGGGCCAGATTAAAATGCTGAACAAGCCGCATCCGGCCCTCGAGCCTTAATTTGCCCATGCCTGGGTTAGACAGAC